AGCTGCAGCGCGGGGATGAGCCGGACACTATGAATGGAGCACCCACGGGGACCCATCTCAAAGAACCATGGTTACTGCATGAAGGTGAGTAACTTCCTCTTCCTTAGGTCACAACCCCCTCTCAGATCTTGCACCTCAAACTGCTATCCCTGGTCACAGCCCAAATCCCTGCAACCCTGTCTGAGGTCACAATCCCCTCTCAAGCTCTGTACACCCTCCTCACCCCAGCCCATTGCCCCAGGTCACAGTCCTCTACTTCACCCAAACTCCCTCTCAGATCCCACACTTAATCCCTTACCCCAAGCTCCCTTCTGCACCCAACCTCTATTCCAGACCCTCACACCTCCTCCATCAATATAATGGAGGTGTGTGGCCCTTGACCACTTACCAAATTCTTAGAGTGGCCCCATCAAAAATTATTGCCCAGCCCTGTGTTAATAGCTTAAGGTGAGAGAGAGAAATATTCTTTTAGTAAATTTTTTTGAGTGTTGCAGATACCTAAAACTCTGATCTTAATAATGTTTTAATCCTGGTAAATACAATTTACCATGTATTAATTAGTATTGCATTAAGGCCAGGTCTTTGCTGTCTGGTAGAGTTCTGATCCTGTAACACCTTAGACTAACATATATAAATAGTATCATGAGTTTGTGAGCACAAGCCATTTCTTCAGCCAAGGGAAGTGTTAATTTTCTTTTTATTTGATTTAATATTAAATAATTATAAGCATTGCTTCTTGTTAATTATTTCTTGTTTTTAATATAATATTTTCTTCCACACTATGGAGTATTTAAAATATATATTTATCTATATTTATATCTTTAGTTTTTGTTTGTACTAGTAGATGCACATCCACACACTGCCTTGGTATTGGTGTTGCACAAAAGAAAATTCAATACACCCAAGGATGAAAAATCTTAGAGGCAACCATGGTGGCTGGAGGAGAGAATGTTAGAGTAACTAGAGCGTGAAAAATGGGGAGCAAAAAGGGAATTAACAAATTTTAGAGATTAGAGGAAAAAGTGGTAAAATCTGGCAAATCTTAATTTTGAGATTGGAGAAGATTTGAAAGTGATTCCAAGTTGTGAGATTGTGCAGCAAGTTATATGTTGCAGTCAACAAAACGTGTTCAAGAATACAAAGCTTTGAGGGAAATATGATAAACCCAGTTTTAGACCTGCTGAATCCAGGGAGAGGTGTCAAGAGACAGGCACAAATCTGAAATTGTACGGAGAATAAGAGATTATGGGTAGAAGATGATGTATTTGGTAGTAATCAGTGTTCAAGTGGCAGAAGCCATGGAAACAGGTAAGATCACTAAAGTAAGAGGAAGCAAAATGCAGGACAATGTAGCACTTTAAAGACTAACAAGATGGTTTATTAGATGATGAGCTTTTGTGGGCCAGACCCACTTCCTCAGATCAAATAGTGGAAGAAAATAGTCACAACCATATATACCAAAGGATACAATTTAAAAAAATGAACAAATATGAAAAGGACAAATCACATTGCAGAACAGAAGGGGGATGCGGGGGGGTGGGAAGGGGGAGGAAGGAAGGTAAGTGTCTGTGAATTGCTGATATTAAAGGTAGGGAGAGTGGGATGTTTGTGAGTTAATGGTATTACAGGTGATAATTGGGGAAACTGTCTTGGTAATGGGTGAGAAAGTTCAAAGACTTGTTAAGTCCTTGTTGGTAAGTGTCGAATTTTAACATGAATGACAGTTCAGAGGATTCCCTTTCAAGTGCAGATGTAAAAGGTCTTTGTAGCAGAATGCAGGTGGCTAAGTCATTTAGAGAGTGTCCTTTCTGGTTAAAGTGGCAAGAAACTGTTTTCTCTTTGTGATCTTGTCTGATATCTGTTTTGTGGGCATTAATCCTTTGGCGAAGTGTCTGAGATGTTTGTCCAATGTACATAGCAGACGGACACTTTCGGCACATGATAGCGTAGATTATATTTCTGGATGCGCAGGAATATGTGTTCTTGATCTTATAACTCACTTGGTTAGGTCCAATAATGGTATCAGCAGAATGAATATGTGGACAAAGCTGGCAACGGGGTTTGTTGCAAGGGAAGGTACCAGGGTTGGTATTAGTGTGGTATGTCCTGTGGTGGTTGGTAAGAATCATCTTGAGGTTAGGTGGTTGTCTATAGGAGACTATGGGTCTGTCTCCCAGAGCCTCTTTGAGTATGGTATCCTGTTCCAATATAGGCTGTAGTTTATTGATAATGTGTTGGACAGGTTTAAGTTGGGGGTTGTAGGTGATGACAAGTGGTGTTCTATTGTTGGTTTTCTTGGGTCTGTCTTGAAGTAGATGGTTTCTAGGTATTCGTCTGGCTCTTTCAATTTGCTTTTTTGTTTCTCTGGGTGGGTAGTTGAGATTTATAAATGCTTGGTAGAGATCCTGAAGCTTCTGGTCTCTGTCAGTGGGGTTAGAGCAGATGCGGTTGTATCGAAGGGCTTGGCTATAGACGATGGATCGTGTGGTGTGTTCTGGATGGGAGCTGGATGCATGTAGGTAACTGTATGAGTCAGTGGGTTTTCTGTAGAGAGTGGTGTCTAATTTTCCATTGTTGATTTGTACGGTGGTGTCCAGGAAGTGGATCTCTCGTGTAGAATGGTCCAGGCTGAGGTTGATGGTGGGGTGTAGGTTGTTGAAATCTCTGTGGAATATCTCCAGTGTTTCTTGGCCATGTGTCCAGATCATAAAGATGTCATCGATGTACCGTAGGTAGAGGAGGGGTGAAAGGGGACGGGAGTTGAGGAAACGTTGTTCTAGGTCAGCCATAAAGATGTTAGCATACTGTGGGGCCATGCGTGTACCCATGGCTGTGCCGCTGATCTGGAGGTATAAGTTGTTCTCAAACTGGAAATAATTGTGGGTGAGAACAAAGTTACATAGGTCTGCTATCAGGTTGGCAGTAGTGTCCTCTGGGATAGTGTTTCTAATTGCTTGTAATCCGTCTTCATGTGGGATGTTGGTATATAGAGCTTCTACATCCATGGTGGCAAGGATGGTATTATTGGGGAGGTTATCGATGTTTTGTAGTTTCCTTAGGAAGTCAGTAGTGTCTCGGAGATAGCTGGGGGTATTGGTTACGAAGGGTTTGAGAAGAGTGTCTACATAGCTGGATAGACCAGTAGTGAGCGTGCCAATACCAGAGATGATGGGACGTCCGGGGTGCCCAGGTTTATGGATCATCATCTAATAAACCATCTTGTTAGTCTTTAAAGTGCTACATTGTCCTGCATTTTGCTTCAACTACCCCAGACTAACACGGCTACATTTCTATCACTAAAGTAAGAGGGTAAAAGGAGAAGTCATCTATTTAATATTCTGTGAAAAATCAGCATTTAGAAACTGTTTAAGAAACAGAAACTAATGATTGAGGGCTGAAGAAGTCTACACCTTCTGTACCGTATTAAAGTTAATAAGAGTTTGTCTGCAAATGAGCCTCATACTACAAGCTTTAAAAAATTGTGGTGGTTTTCCATCTAAAATGTAAATAAGTTTTTCCCTCTATCAGAGCAGACTGACCTTAAGTTTTCAGAGCTCTGTATGCAGAGAAATATGGTGGGCTCCTGCTAGTTCCTTTTTTCCTCCTCTTCTTCTCCCACTCATTCTGACTGGTGACATTGTTGTTAGCCCTGTGGTAGGTAAGCTAGGTGTATGCCCAGTGTGCACCTAGATGTATGGAGTTGTGTGTGGCTACTACAAAGGAGTTGGGCTCTTTACTGTCCTATTGTAGTGTATGTAGCTTTCATGTGCTCCAGTTAACTTCAGTTTGCTTAACAAGAAGTAGGTCTAAATGGACATATAAGCTGTTAAGTTTTACATCATTTTTGTTTTGAGTGAACTTGTACTGCAGTATTTGTATGAGGTGAATTAAAAAATACTATTTCTTTTGTTTATCATGTATACAGTGCACATACTTGTATTAAAATATAATACGAACACAGTTCTGTGAGGACGTGTTTTCTGTGTTGTAATTGAAATAATATTGAAAAATGTTGAAAAATATCCAAAAATATTTAATAAATTTCATTTGATATATTATTATTTAAAGTACACTTTAAACTTCAATTAATCATGATTAAAATTACAGGCAGTCCCCGCGTTACATGGATCCGACTTACATCGGATCCCTACTTACAAACGGGGTGAGGCAACCCCGCACTAGCTGCTTCCCCCCAGCAGACCAGGGAGACGCAAAGCTAGCGCCCCCCCCCTCCCCCCCCCCAGCTGACCAGAGAGACGCAAAGCAGCTTTTCTCAGCAGACACCTCAGCTTGAGAATAAAGGACTGAGGGAAGTGAGGTTTGGGAGAATAAAACTGAGCTCTGGAGAAATGTTTGGCTAGAGTTTCCCCTACAATGTGTACCAGTTCCGACTTACATACAAATTCAACTTAAGAACAAACCTGCAGTCCCTATCTTGTACGTAACCTGGGGACTGCCTGTAATTATCATTAATTTTTTGAGTTAATCACATGAGTTAACTGTGATTAATCAACAGCCCTACTAATAATGCTAAAGTATTTCTATGGCATCTTCTGTCAGAGTGCTTCAGAGCACAAACACAAATGATTTTAAATGCCACAGCTTTGATTTTAAATATGCATAATATTTCCACCAGTCTAAAATTAATTTTTCAAGGTTCCTACTGGTGACGGGAGGGATCATGTGAGAATTACCTGTTATGTTCCTTCTATCTGGGGCATCTGGTATTGGCCACTGTTGGCAGACAGAGTACTGACCTAGATGGACCTTTGGTCTGACCCAGTATGGTCGTCCTTATGTTCTAATCTTGATACATTTATCTTGCCAGTAATTTAGTTTGACTTGTCATGCTCATGCACACACACTTGATGCACTATATATAATCATAACCGGTGCTAACAACCCAGTCTGTAAATAAGCTTTCATATTCTAAGTGATTTAAAATATAAACTTTGTTATTTTTAAACACTTCATATATATATAACACATTTTTTTAATAGGGAAGCTCTTCTCAAAAAAGCAAAAACGAGGGCTAAAAAGAAGCCACGAAGACGATCGGACAGCTCTGGAGGATATAATCTTTCAGATATTATTCAGAGTCCGCCCTCCACAGGTTGGTGGCAAATGAATTTTCTTTCCAAACATCACACGATCTAGCATCAGCTAGATTATACTTCTGCTATCTGTTCATCTTTAGAAGAAATTCTTAGTTAACACAACATTTTTGTAAATATTCAAGATGGATTATAATGGTTTATGTAATGAACTAGCCAATTAGCCCATCATAAGGCGACCCAGCTGAATGGCACAGATGTCAGCCGAGTGCCATGGCAGGAGGCGAAGGGGGGCGAGGCGGTGACGTACATGGCCAGGCCCCACCCCCTTCTTCCGTGGCACTCGGCTGACTTCTGCACTGTTCAGCCGGGCCACCGCGGGGGACCAAGTGGCATAAGCAGCCGTTTGGGCCCCTCACTCCCCATGCAGCATGGGCTGCCCAGAGGGAACAGCCAACATTTCAGGCAACAGCGTCCTCCAGAGGGAACAGCCAGCATTTTGGCGTTCCAGACTCTCAGACACTGGGCTGCTATATATATGATTACAGAATTAAGTGATATTGTTTTCTGTACTGTTCTTAAAGGGATATTTGCCAGGTTAACTTTGCCCCCAAACTTAGTTTTAAGGAAAACAAGCCTTTTATAAAACTAAGACTAAAGGACATTTTATCAGTTCTTTTTTTGGTAACTTAATTATTCTCCAGAAATGTTGCAGCCCAAGCATTGACTCACCACTTGAGACCCTGAAAGAAAGTGACTAGAAACTGATTAGCCTGTGTTTCGTTGCCCAATCTGTGAGAAATAGAAAAAGTAAATAAATTCCTTTTTTCAAGTAGATGGTTTGTTTCAATTAGGCTAGAGAAAGGCAGAAATGGGGGAGGCTATTTTATTCTGCCCGGTGATGGTAGTTACCTGCACTGTATGGGATTATATGATGAACTACCCTTTTAAATGTTATATTGATAATTATCTATAGTTTTATATTTTTAGTTTTATAATTGTATAATGTTCAAAATATGATTTTCAACCTTCCATCTTTGCATGTTTTTTTCTATAACCATTGTATAACAATCCTGCTTTTCATTATATAATTCTATGTTGTATTCTTCTCCAATACACATTAGGTTTAATAAAATTGGATAAGGCGAACTCTGTGGAGTCTCTTCCAGAACTGTTGACATCTGATTCTGAGGGCAGTTATGCTGGAGTCAGTAGTCCCAGAGATTTACAATCCCCTGACTTCACAACAGGATTTCAAGCAAATAAGACAGAGGTTGGATGTTTTGATTCATAAAAATATGTTTTTTAAAAAAAGGTCTTACCTTAATTTTTTTTTGCCTTTCTATGTGCATTTGAAAAAAATGCAAAGCTTGATTTTTTTTTTTGCTTTTAAAAAGAAAAATTAGTCACATTCTCATCATTAAATAGTTTAAAGTGTGTGATTATTCACATAAATGCACACAAATCCTCTGCAGTTTTAATAGGTGGTGCTGGTATTTGTGTGTGTGTGTATGCTATCAGGATTTTTAAATCTTTTATATATCTTCTTGTTGTGTTTTTGTGTTTAAATTTTTCAATTCTCTTATGCTAAAATCCTTACCTCATTTTTTTATCTCAAAGTATAAAAGGAACCTCTATTTTAGCAAAATAAAGCTAATTTTCTGAACCTGATGCATAAGATAAAAAGATTAGTGATGATAATTATAAAGAGATGTTTTATATAGAGAAATGAAGTTCACAAGAATTGAAACTAATGCAGATCCCTGTTCATGCCAGTCTTAGGTAACAAAATCATTATTTTAGACCTGTAACAAATTTCTAAGAATGATATTACACGAGTTTATCTAGTAATGTATTTGAACATAGTTATGATGTCATTCTTGTTTTTTGATGGATGCTGTCAGTTAAACATAATATAAATAATGCAGATTGAGCTGGGATTAATTAAAATAAATCTGCTATTTCTGATATTTCCTATAGCTCTCTTCGTGTACAGGCAGTCCCCGGGTTACGTACAAGATAGGGACTATAGGTTTGTTCTTAAGTTGAATTTGTACGTAACTCGGAACTGGCTCCAGATTCAGCCGCTGCTGCTGAAACTGACCAGGGGCTGACTACAGGAAGCCCGAGGCAGAGTTGCTCTGCCCCCAGCTTCCTGGAATCAGCAACTGATCAGTTTCAACAGCGGCTGAATCTGGAGCCTGGGACAGAACAGCTGGGGCGCTGCCGGGTAGCTCCCCCCAGGACCAACCCAGCAGCACCCCAGCTGCTCTACCCCAGGTGTCTACAACAAAAGCCTGGTCTACTGGGGGGAGGGGGCGCCCCCCCCCCCCCCCCCCCCCCCCAGCAGACCAGGGAGACCTGGAGCAAAGCCTTGGGGGCGCGGGACCCCGCCGCCTCTGCAGCTTTGCTCGGGGTGTCCCTGGTCTGCTCCGGTGTCCCTGGTCTGCTGGGAGGGGTCCCCAGCAGACCAGGGACACCCGGAGCAGCTTTTCTCGCCCCGGAGGATGCAGTGGCGGGACCACTGCGCGTCTGGGTTGTCCCGCCGCCCGCGAGTTCCGTGGCGAGAAAAGCCCCGTTCGTAAGTGCGGATCCGACATAAGTCGGATCCGCGTAACTTGGGGACTGCCTGTATATTTTAATTTTTGCCATTTTTGTCACTTCTGACATTCATCCTTTTCTAAATGGGGGAGGAAAAACTCTGTTTCAGTGTAATTTTTTGTATGTTTCAGATAAAAAACAAAATGTATGTTCAGGATGTAAAAGCCCCGCATTCAAATACAGAGATGAAATTAAGTGAGGGGACATCAGCATTGAAACAGTCTGTTCCACAGTCAATACCCAGTAATAAAAACAATTCTGCAAGTTCTCCAGGTTGGGTTGCTACCTCTTTCAGGTACAGCAACATTTATTGTATTTAATTAGCTGGCAAGTATTGTTCTTTCTGTTTGGTAAAGATATAATGAACATTAGTAATTTAATATTCTTTCTTTTTTGCAAAGCAAAAAGTTAGCTGTGTTTAAATTGATCATGTGATACTAGCAACATTTGACATGTTGCCTAAAGATGCTGGCTTTCATTTTGCAAATTAATATGCTTGCTTTCTCTTGAAGAATAATAAAGAATCATTAGATACATCTTGATTCTATGATCTTAAAAGGGACACTGTTTCTAAGGACTTATATTTTAAAGTAGCTCTTTCTATTACTTGGATCCTTTATTTCATCCTTTAATTAAAAAAATAGTACTACAGTACTGTGCAGTAAAAGTGCACTTTATAATACTGTTACTGCAATAAATTGGGGTTGTCACTGTCACGTACCCTTTTTTTTTTTTTTTGAGGGAGATGTTTGACAATTTTGAACATTATTCTGTTTATAGACAATTTATGATAAAATGTGTTGGCTTCAAAGATTCTTAATGTAGTTATAGTATTTTATCTGCATGGCCTGGGGTTGGGGGAGCATGCAAAGTCTCCTTCCCCCCATCAGTGATGAACCAGAATGCTTCACGTGGTGCGAATTGTCTCTGGGCACCTCCCGTCCCTGGCAGGGCAAGGGGGGAAAGATCTCTCGTGCTCCCCACCCCATAGGGGAGCGCACAAAGTCTTTTTCCCCGTGCATGCGGTGCCTAGAGGAAACCGCCCCCTTCTGGATTACCACTATCAACATTGGTGACGTGCCCCTCCCCCTACAAAAATTATTGCCCGCTCCTGCTCAAAAGCCATCTGCTCTTGTCCTGAAATCCGTTTTAATTAGCACCCCAAAGGGTTTTTCTGGCACCAGGTCTCATATTTCAGTGAAGCATTCTGGTTCATCACTGACCTGGATTGCAATCAGTGTCATCTGCCTAGAGTAAGCATGAGTAGAGTCAACAACAGTAGTCATTGTCAAGAAACATTTTTCTGACTTGTCCAAGTCTGCTCCTTATAAACCTGACAAGCAATGCAAATTTTCAGTGACTCTTGACTTTTGCATTCTTCAACACGGTCAGGTCCCAGTAACTGAAGCTCCTATCTCAATACCAATGGCATTTGGTGTGGTCTGACTTAGAATCTTCTGTGCTATGTTGTAGTAGAAATCTTTTGCTGCATAGTATTAGTGTACATTAGGGATGTTAGCAAATGTTTATGTTTGTAAATCTATAACTGCTTTTCAGTGACTCTTGACTTTTGCATTCTTCAACACGGTCAGGTCCCAGTAACTGAAGCTCCTATCTCAATACCAATGGCATTTGGTGTGGTCTGACTTAGAATCTTCTGTGCTATGTTGTAGTAGAAATCTTTTGCTGCATAGTATTAGTGTACATTAGGGATGTTAGCAAATGTTTATGTTTGTAAATCTATAACTGCCAAATTTGTGAGTGTGTGTGTGTGTGTGGGGG